AAAAAAAAAAAAAAACAGTACCCTTTGGACTATATATGGACAAGATTGCTTTGCTATGAAATGATGACTCTAATCAGTACATATTTTTTTTTCAGTTAAACTTTCCAAAAAAGTGCAACTCTAATATTTTTGCATCTCTGTGTATATATGATTTTGAATATATTTTTGGAGTTAGATAATGGACATTATTGCAAAGGTTTATGTCAAAAAGATAGGTGGGATGTAAGGGAATTAAATGTGATGGGGTCCAATTTACTACTACTACTACTACAATGCATGCAGGTTACGGTTGCAATAAAGATATTGTTGCCGCCTAGGCTATGACTTTATCATTACTTCCTCCGTCTTAAATTATGTGTTATATTTCTCTTTTACACGACATTTAAGAAATATTAATTAGAAGGAATTTTTGACTATTTTATCCTTATTTATTTATTTCTTAAAATATAATAATCAGAGGTAAATTCAGAATTTTAAGTTTATGAGTTCCTATATAAATCTTAAGTTAATATACAATAATAATTGAATTAACGGACGGGGTTCCAAGCTAAATATTCTTATATATTTAATGAATTTTTCTATACAATTACCGGATCTAAACAAAAGTTATTGGGTTCACGAAAATCCGTAACTAATGCACTGGATACGCCCCTGGATATAATCTATCTTTATTGAATATTTATTCTATTTACGTGTCATTTCATCTTTAAGGAACAATTACTACTAAGTACTAAGAGTAAAATGAGAAAAACTAATTAAGTTTGTTTTGAACTTTTAAAATAACAAATAATTTGAGATAACTATTTTTAAAAATCACGACAGATAATTTGAGGAGTACTATTTAGAGTATTATTTAGTTTTCTTTTGAGTCTATGATTTTTGAGATTGTTTTATTACTTGTCCATTTATTGGTCCATTATTTTCCGTGATGTGTGCTTGCAACTACAATTTTAAATGAAATATAAATGCTGCCAATGACTGATGAAAAAGATGGCACGTGTCATTTCGGTGGATCTAGAAATACCTTTTTCATGTTATAATACAATACATTTTGTTGATATTTCTTTAATGATTAATATGTGTACCCTTATTAACCTTCATTATTATAAGTAGAATCAGAAAAGAAAAAAAGAAAAGGAAGAGAAAATGATGCTTCCTCTTATATTTTTATTACTTACTTCTTAAGGTTTTTGCGTGTTTTTTCAAAAGAAATTTAACAATCTTAATCATAAAAGTATTTATCTAACCAATTTGTATTTCTCCTTGCATGTTTTTTAAGAAAGAAATTTAACAATCTTCATCATAAAAGTATTTATCTGGGCTTTATTAAAAATATCCAGATTTACAACTGGTAATTGAAAAATAGCCACAGTTTTAAAAGTAATCAAAATTTAGCCAGTTTTTCATGTAAAGATAAAATATGAACAAAAACACTCTTAAAATCCAGAAATATTCCAGCATAATATGCTGGAATTCGAATTTTTTACATATGAGATTCCAAAAAAATGTATTGGAGTTCCAGCATAATATGCTGGAAGTTTAAAAGCAGGAGCTCCATAATCTACTCCCTTCGGTCCAAAATAAGTGCTTTTTTAGCTGTTTTCACACAGATTAAGAAATTCACCTTTTAACATTAATTAGCAATAAAATTGACCATATTAACCTTTACTATCTCTTCACATAAACACTCCTAGCACATACTCCAACACTATTAACTCCAAGGGGAATGTAGGAAAAAAATAATTAATTCATTCTTGAAATCTGAAAAAATCACTTATTTTGGACCGCAAAAAAAGGCCAAAAAATCACTTATTTTGGACAGGAGGGAGTAGTAAATTATACTGGAACTTTCCTTGTGCTGGAGTTCCAACATAATATGCTGGAAGTTTATACGTATGAGCTTCATAATCCGGCATATTATGCTGGAACTTTCCGTGTTTCGGCAAAATAGTGGCTATTTTTCAATGACTTTGCAAACGCTGGATATTTTTTGATTATCAGTCCGAAAAATGACTAGACCGTGCTATTTATCTAACCATTTGTGTTTCTCCTTGCATGTTTCACTTAATGAAATTGCGCTAGTTAGGACAACAAATCATAGATTTCAAAAATAATAATAAATGACTTTTTATTTTTGTAACACGTCAAAATGTTTCGATACTAATTTAATTTGACAAAACAACTACCCTAGCTTGAACTAAACAACTACTCTAGTATCGAAGAAAATGATATAAAAAATGTAATTCTAGCTTGACCTATGTGAACTAATTTAATTTTGGTCCAACACGTATTTCTGACTTAAGCAAAGTCAGACCGAAACCTCAACTTAAAAAGGCCGTCGCTAGCTGCAAGAACTTTAAAAGGCTTCAACTTCAAGTCAATTTTTTTTATGAGTAAAAAAACTTCCTTATAAACTTAATATAGTCCAACCTCTCTACAACAGATTTATTTGTTCCGATATTTTTTGGCTACTATAGTGAGATGCTTCTTTACCTAAAAAATACGAGTAACAATTAAATTTAATTTGTGATTTTAAAGATACATGATTTAGTTCAATACCAATTAATAATCAAGAAATATAAGGTATAGATGAAGGAAAGTAAGCAAGACCAAACCAGTAGATAAACTAGTAGGCAGTAGTGACCTCGAGGTGAACCAAGAACAATAAAGCAAGAACGGGAAAGATAAAAGGGACAATTCAGATGAGCTAAGAGCAAAAAGTAGAGAGTATATTCTTTTGTCAATGATTAGATGATGTTACAAATATGGGGTCCCCTTTATATAATATGGGATCCCTAAATAAGGTACATTTTTTTATAGTAAGGAATATCACTGGTACTACTGTCTAACTGCCTAGTACGGAATAGTACAATCGTATTCCGGGATTTGCGCCATGATCTTGGGGACATGGCGAGAATCTTGTCCTTCTGTAACAAACTTACAATGGCACTATCTCGGAGTCGGACATGATTGGCCCTGATATTTCTCGTGTACTTCGATCCTAGGGCATTGCATTCTGTCTTCGAGCTGGAGTCTTGCCCATCGAGCTCGAACTCGACCTTACCTGAAACCTTGCTTAAAGCAACCCCCCGAGCCTGGGAAATCGGGCATACCTGATTTCGATCGTATACAGATAGTCCCCGCATTTCTTAGAATAAAAATGAGAAGAAACGACTTGATTCTCGATCCTTCAACGTCGCGATCATGATGTCCATCTCGTGACGTCAGCAGCTGAAGTGACTGAAGGGTCGCGTCTGCACAGTTTTCCATGGCCATTAATTGGAGGCGACTGAAGGTCGACTATTCGACTTCTCTAACACGCTTAAGTGGCCCTTATAAATAGACCAGCTTCACCATTTTACAAACTTTACTTCTTTAATCATTTTCAAAATCTCATTAGCTCCATCATTCTCTTTAGTTTGCCTTTGCTTTCATCATCAACCCTTTCTCTTTGAATTTCTACACCATAATGGTTAAAACATCTAAGACTGTTCCCCAACAAGAAAAAGTCTCTTCGTCATCGCGGCCGTCCAGAAGTAAACCGGTGATGCCACCTCGCATCGAGGAGTGCATTCCCCCACCGTGAGAAATAACATCCGATTTCAAGATTGATAAACCTGTGTCGACACCAGGACGGTGCGAGCCCATGTCTCGATACATCTGTTTGATAACCAAAGATGAGCTCGAGCAAGTGAAAAAGGACTGCAACTGGGAGAACAAGGATGTGGTCATCCCTTCCCCGGAAGAGGACATCACTACTCACAAAGTGGGGTACTTAAGCGTGTATACTTAATCATTCACGCTGGATCCTGCTGACCTAACTTTGGGTCCCATAGATCTAGTTATCCTTGATTTTGGCTAGCAATACCAAGTGACGCTTGCCCAAATCTACCCCTCATTCTGGCGAATCGTCAATCTGATTCGATACTTATTGAGCCAGGTCGAGGGGATGCCTTTTACGCTCGACCATCTGATCAGGCTGTATAGCCCTCGCCTTTCTCGAGGTGGCCTGATAAAGCTGCAACACCGATCCTCAAAATCTTTCTTCTCCAGTATCGATGAGGACAAAGACCGAGGATGGATGAGCCAGTTTGTCTGAGTCAGGACCTCTAACCTGATTCCTGCTGAGAGGATGCCATTCCCCGAGGAATGGAACATGAAGTGTACGTACATGTTTATTGATAGTGACTTTTATACCCAATTTTCCCTTCTCTTCCTCGACCTTATCTTTTTCTCGGTCTGACCCCTTTCCGCTAGTGTAGTTGTTGCTTGGTTTCCTAGTGCGGTCCTAGATCTCGAAGGTTGGGTCCGAAAATTGGCCTCTACTTCTTTGTACGCGGAGCACAACTGGTGTGACTTCATCTTTATGCAGGCCTCAGAGACGTCATTGACATGCGACCTCCCCCACCTGGTGAAGAAGAGACGCCAAAGCCTCCCAAGGAAAAGAAAAGAAAGAGGAGTTCGCCTGCAAATTCCCCAAAGCCAAAGAAAAGCAAAGCTCGAAAGCCCAAGGCTGACACCGTGGCCTTATCTCCGGATACGGCCCAACGTCTTCAGGATCAGGAAGAAGAGGGAGAAGATGACGACTGCCTGTTGAGGATCTGATGCTTCGAAGGCCGCTGAACCGATGGCGACAGAGGCGGTTCGAACCGAAGAAATTTTAGAGGGGAGCTCGAGCAAAGTCCCCGAGTCATTAAGTGGAAAAGGCATGCCTTGCCTCGNCTCTTCAAAGACAAGATAATATCCCAACAGAACCACTTGGGGTAATCAACATAGACGACTCGCCGCAGGGCCCGGT